GATACGCTGGGATCATAGTCATTATAATTGCGTTGATTGATTGAAGTATTCTTCATAGATTCTGATGGAAAGGAATAATGAATATTTGAATCATTAATGACATGATGGAAGAGTGAAGAAATCGAACTACGCTTATGTGCATAAATTTCATTGCATGAAGCAACTGATCGCCTAGCAAACAGAGGTGCATTGTCTACATTCTTTCGTCTTGACACTTTATAAGGAACAAGCTTATGTCACCAAATCGCAGAGCTCAGGAAATTGAAGGCAAGCAAAGAAGCCTCCTACTAGTGAGTAGTTCCTGGTGAACGTGAACAGAAAAGTTCATCAACAATTACTGAGTTTCAGAAAACCAGAGCTGGAGCATTGCCTTCTGAGGTATTTTTTCAAAATGATATGCATAGCAGAGACTCAAGCTTTTCGCATTCATCATACCTAGTCCGCTGAATGCTCAATCACCTGAAACCGGTCTACCTGACTGACGACTGCTGGAAAATTCAACCATCGAGAAAATCTCAAGTGTCATCCAGGCGTCTAGGATCATAAAAGCCATTTGGGATGAGGATTATTCCGATCAGTTAACACATACACATTGATAATACGTTGGATAACGGTGAGAGTCGTAAAAATAACGTTGATGGTAAAAAACTCATCGTTGAAATTTGCTTGAGGGAAACGAGAAAGTAACACGTTATTGAGACGTTTTATTTTTCAACATTTCATTACATTGTGTTAATCTACAACCACTATTGAACATTGGAGCAGAACGTTGATACTATCAAGCATTTATTTTTCATTCCAACGTTCAAAATCTACAAATTCGATAGAATCATCATCAAACATTGTGGATTAGGAATTGATTTGACACTCGTTTGACAAGCGATATTTGCGTTTGCAAGGCGAAGTGACCGCGAATCCGAGCGCGCAAATTTTGCGCGTCTAACATAGTCACTTTTGTTTGGAATGAAACATGCTTAATTCCTGCAATCCACATAATTGAGATTCAATTGATGAAATACAAGAGAATGTTACCACTATCCTGACTAAGTTGAGCATGCCAGTGTTGAAGCAGCTATCACATCTGCTGTCATCCAACACGTTCCTATTTCCTAGGAGTTGAAATCCACTTTTAGCTCTTTAGCTCTTGAGCTATTCACCTCCTAGACCCCAGAAGTGTTGCCTAGCAACATACATAGTAGTCATTTCATTCTGTCAGGAAAAGAAACGTCAAGTTCAAGAGCTTTTCTTGAAAAGAAAATGGACTAATCTGAGCAGATGGCAGAAGGAAGTTTACTATCGAGTTGAAAAAAGTTCATTGGAGTTGTTGAAATAAGGTTCGTGTACTGGTCGAATACAATATGTATATCAGCGACATTTCTGCGTTATTTCGACCAATCGATGTGATAATTTCACTACGTCATTCCGACTCGAGTGTATTAACTGAGATACAATTAACAATATAATCGTCACTTCATCAGAGAATTTGATTCTGGAGGTGGTGATGGTGCAGGTGGAGAGACTCGTTCTCTCCAAGGTATGTGAAGAACTTGTTCTCTTTCATAGTCACGGATGACAAGAGGCAGGTGAGGAAGACATCATTCTACCTAGTTCATGTAAATATACTCAAGCACTGTGACAAATCTTGAATCAACTTATACGCTGTCGAAAGCGATAGACTTCTACCTAAAATGTATAGTTTCTGAGTAATGGACAAACAACTGAAAAAAGTGTGATTCCTCGAATCGGTCCACGAAATCTTGATTGCATCTGATCCAGATTCAGCATGCCCAAAAACATAAGAAACTACGGAAAAACGGACTACTTGGACTTCTTTCACGTGCAAATAGTTTTGATTCAACAATAATGATGGCGCATCAGATGATGCAGTTGAAACGATAAATAATCATACTAAAGATGAAACAAGAAAATATGAATCGTAGTTTGTTTCCATCTTGTTGAGGAGTGTTATGGAAACAAGAGAATCTTTGAGTTAACAATGAGAATCACCTCATCGTACAACTACTGACAATAGATATTTGTATGCTTAGGCCACGAAGTAACTTTTTGGCGTGCCGAAAAAAAAAAATTATCGCCGAGGCCGTTCGCGGTCAATGCATAATGATCTTGGGATCGCCGAAAAATTCAACGGATATGGAATACCACTATTTTTCGAACAATCGTTAAAACTATACAACTGAATAACTGAAATATCATTTCGCCTGGTTGAAAAAATAAGCTTTTGATTTCCCAAGTATTCTACGAACGAGTTGCAGAGATAATTGTTTCCACAAACATCGAAAATTAATGTTTCAAAGTTGAAATATGCTTAGCTCAATATAAGAAATAGAGTTTAACTAGCTCAATATCCCTCAGGTATTGTTGAACGTCTATAAATGAATGATTTCTTAGACGTTTACTCGATTAATGACCATAAAGGTTATAATACGAAAATATCAGATAGTTTTCATGCAATGCGCAAAGTATTCACTCCACGCACTGTTCTTCTTCGCGCACTACTCCATGCATTGTAAAGTGGTAACGTGAGAAAATGAAGAAAAAGTCAGTTCGCATATCGTTAACAACGCGTGAACCTTGAAGTTACAAAAAAAGTATCTGTTCCAGAAAACTTAAGTATTTAGAGTTCGGATAGAAATAATTTCTCAGGGTTGAAACTCCAATCTCTCTAATTTCTTCATGGGAAAAAATAATCGAAATGACCAAAGTATTCCGCGCTCGAGTTGCAAACTAAATTTTTTCTACAGACGTGAAAAAATTTTGTTTTAAAGTGAAAAAATGCTTTGCTCGATATTGAAATAGTGTTGAACTGGCTTGAAAGGCCTTCCCCTATCCTCCCTTGGTACGCACGATGTGCCACGAACATAATAGGAATTTCCTTACGTGCGATCTAAAAGATGAAGCAAAGTTATTGTTGAACATTCAGAAATAGATGATTACGTGAATATTTTTTTGATTGAAGACCATAAAGTTGATATATTATCAATATCTTATAAAATATGTTAAATAACAATACGCGAAGTAGGTACTTCGCGCACTGTTTTACTTCGCACATTGTTTTGTGAATGATAACATGGTAACGTGAAAAACTGAAAAAAAGGCTCCCTCCGCAATTTGTTATCAATACACGAACCTTGTCATTTTTTGACGTATGTAGAAAATAGTTATTTGCCTAACAGATGCGCAAAGTGTTACTCTTCCGAACGCAAATACTAGGCGAACGACGAGGAGCAGAGTTCGAATAAGTTTTTGCGTGCGGAAAAGACACATTGCGCACGTGTTAGGAATAACGTTCTTTCAACGAGCTTCATATCAGATATAAATGAGAATGAAAACCTGAAATTATAATTCATTGAATCATTTTTAGTTGAACTTTATAGAAATAGCTAAACAACAAACAATTACATGGGTACCCAACTAGCATTTTCAGTCACAGGCACCATGGTTCAAGAAACTATTACCTATATTTAGTGATAATAATGTATTTATCACTTATTTCAGAACTTCATAGTATGAATGTCAGTGATAGTTATTTAGTGAGTGAAAATTACGTAGTTTTTACACTAGATAATAACTTCAAAGTGAGAAATTCTCATGGCTTATTACGAAGTAACTATTTCGAAACTGTCACTCCTCAAAACTACTCTTAAGGTTTCGGAACTTTGGATATATTATTACGGTAACGCTTACCACCCCAAGAAGGCTTCACAGTTGCAATTACTCTATGGTCACCAATTAGGTTTCTACGACGTTGTCGTTACTTGATCGATCACCTAATAATTTAGTCAATTCTTGGTGATATTTCAAGTAACATATTGGTAATTCCTACTCAAACAATTCCTTCATAGTTGAAACAACTTTTCGGTAATTATATTCAGTTGAAGTTACCAATACATAGGTTATCATAACTGACGAGTTCCAAAAGTAACTTTCTGATTCATTTTCGATTGGAAGCCATATTGATTGATGTGATAACCATTTGAACAGGAAATAATTTTGGTTTTTCTTGTTGATAAACATCATTTTATGAAGAATAATAGCATTCGTTCGATCACAAATTGCATAATAATGGAAATTAACATGATTTACGATGATTTTTGAAAAATAGCCGAATGAAATAAAACCATATTTTTGGTGAAATGAGCCGTATTTTGTGGGCGCATCTTGAATTTCGAGGCAAAATCATCACATTTATCGAAAAACTGAATGTTGTTCGAATTTTTCAAGTTCGAGTATCAATTATTTCGCGTGTTTGTTCTTGTATTATTTATTGAATGGTTAGGCATATTGGACTTGTTCATTTTTCGTGAATGTGAACTTCATGGATGGAATGAAGAATAATAAAGAGAGAAAATAATATTTTTATGAAGTGGAAAAGAAATAGAAAGTCAGGTAGGAAAATTTACTACATCTTTACGTAATTTCGACGTCAACGGGTCGTAAGCATTACGTAATTGTGTGAGTTCCCGCTACGTCGGCAAACCGTAATAATTACTCGTGATTTGTTTCCCATTTTGGTCGTAAATACGTAGTAACGACGTAATTATAACGTAACCGCAACTAGTAAATATTACTTAATAGTCGACCCAATAGTCGTAATTACGTAATCGCGACTATAAATGCTAGTTGGGTACCTATCAATAAAATATAATGATAGAGAATCAAATCATTTGTTCCTGATATTTATATTGAGGTGAAATACAATTATCGGGAAGAACGGATGAAAAGTAAAAGGGATAACGCCTTCTTATACAGCAACTAAAATGAATATAAATGTTCCATACCAGTGAGATTTTTGGGTAGTTTCACTCATTTGCACGCCATCCGGATAACACCCATATCCGCACTGAGTGTGGAAGAGTAGTACTTTGCGCACGCAAATGAATGCGGAAAAGTACTACTTTGCGCACGCTCGTTGGATAAGGATATTTTCGTATGTCCCTATCGACACTTATGACTGCGATAGATGGTTATTGGATACTCACGTGAAAACAATGTGGAATATAAGGCCATATAGACCATTCGCTTCATGATGCAAGCTCTCAGCAGCATTCTCGCAGATGCTTCGTAAAATGCAGTCTCTACCATCTATTCCTGCACTGAATGATAATTCAATTAGTAATCACTCCTCAAGAATAATGCAAATTGAATCAAAAGTTCATCAGGAAATATTGATTTCCCTACCCATTCAGTACGTCTTCAAATGCTTTATAGAACAATGATCTGTCCGTTTCTTCTGTTGCCCGTTTTTCTCGGAATTTCCTGTCATAAAATGGTGGATATTGTTGCAACATTGTGATATTAGTTGGTACGTCATATTGCATCTGAAAATTCCACCCGATTGACATCGATTGCTTGATTCCCAGCTTGAGTGGAATACCAATACCAAGAACAACCTGTCGAAAAACAAAATGTATTATGTTCAGAAATGAGTGATTTCTTGTAATGATTGTATCTCGTGACGATATTGTCACGATAATAAGTATGTGTTTTCTAAATGTCAAAACATTGATATAGGACTTTCACTATGATATATATATGGATGGTATTTCATCCATGTCGATTCATAAGGGGAATGCTTGGCTTGAGGGTTTGCGAGAGGCGAGTAAAATACTATATTAAAACATAACAATATCACTCATAGCATGCAAAATCATAGGAAGTGATGGGTTATGACCACATTGACAAGTTCCTGTCAAGTCAAGAGTAGCCATAGACCAGACACATCGAAACCCTCACATCTGATATCTATACATATATAACAGGTTATCATAGTATTACACGTTTCTCATAAAAGTTTTTTGATCGGTATTGATAGTTCAATGTCGACAGATCATTATATTAACTTCATCTAGTTATGAACTAATATACCGAGTGTTCCACTAGTGACATGACTCTCTTCTTCTGGAGAGCTGGATCACAGCTCTCGAATCATTACATGTGATTTAAATCATCATGGAGCTCATCAAAAATTCAGGAACAGGAGTTAAAAAAAAAACTTTCCTTCGGCGCCTCCACCAATTCACTATAATAGCTGCTTCCTCCATTGCAGCCATGATGTATTTTAATCGTTCTTGAGAGGTGAAGAGGTATTCACAATGAAAAATCAAGTAATCTGGTCACGCATAAAATGCTATAGGCATCACGGACCTACCTTGCTTTTGTTCATTAATGACAATTTCACGCCATCAATACATGAATTTCAAATTTTACCGAGGTGTATATTGAATGTTTTCCAACACAAGCAAACTGATTCCATCACTATGTAGTTGTGTGGAACTGAATTATGGACCTTATATCTGTATGAAAGCACTTCTCAATTCTCATCGAAATCTAGTAGTCATGATCATAACAGCATATGAGAAATCGTTATTGATGAATATATACTTGAATCGAATGTCATATCTGCAGATTTCACATCAGAACAGTGAATTCAGGATAAAGGTGGCTATGTCTTCATCAACTAATGGTCTATAGATAGCACATACTTCACGCCTTCGAAAGGAGTGACAAATACTCGGTTCTATAGCTTATGGTGAAAGATAAGTTTTATGTTATCGTGTTCCCATTCCATCTGGGTAAATATCATAATAATCTCCTTGACTCGGCTGTCACATGATAGAAATCAATGTTGGATGTTGACAAAATCCAACACAATCAGGTTCACACAGAATCTTTGATTGTTCCGTGACGTTCAAGATTCATACAATGAATCGACCTAACACTGATTAGCGGACTCAAAGATTCCTGCTTGAAACTAGAGATGTTCGATAAAAAAAAATTAATCAAAATAACGGTAGATAGTTGAGATCTGATAGATCGTTAAATTGAATGTAAATGATTTTGTGTAACTTCATCCACAATGATTTCGAATAATCTATTTTCCATTGTCTATTTTCAACATGTCAGATATCGGAATTGACATCAGATTTATGATAGTGAGCCTATGTTGAATTTGTTTTTTTGTGATGGCGTTTATTTCTGGGACTTTCACTTTAGCACTTCCTGGACAGAGTTCTGCGACTTGATCGAATTCCGCGGGAGCCATATTTTTGATGAAGTGTATGACTACACTTGCTCCTGCGAACTAGGTTTTTCAGGAGACCTAGGCTGCAGCAGAGAAAAAGATACAGAAGGTGTATACTGTGAACCAGGGGTCAATGTCATTGATTCGACTTGGAATGAATGGGCTAAGAGAGTGCAGGCGTTGATTAAATCTCCTAGGAGAATCCTGGAATACGAGTTGCTATGGATAGATGCATGAATTATTGTACCATATATCACTGGTAGTTCCTTGAATTGAAAAGAACTCTCTACCTCGTTATCAGGACTGAAGAATCAGAAGCACATAGACTGATAAAGTACATTGAGTTTATTGAATGAAACAGGAGAAATCAATGAAATTCATTATATGAAAAACTTTTTAGGAGTGAATTGTAGTTTGATATTAAAAACATGTAACTGACAGGTACGCCGTCTGACGTATCTCTGACAATTATGAAAAAGGGGTTGTCTCACTGAGCATTTGCAAACTCCTTGAATCATTGAATCACGAGTAGTGGTAGCCATGATCAAGCGACAGGCCATCAAGTAACTAGGAAAGCATAAAGTTATGTGCTATCGAAAGTCCTGCAGGTGAAGTCGAGCAGTCCAACGAGCAACTAAATACTGAATTCGGAAATCGTTGAAGAGTGCAGGTTTCAGTACGAAAAACGAATCCTGTTGGATTTTGTGCAATCGAGAGAGGCAATTAGCTCTCTTTTAGTTAGGCCTATTTCGCTGCTCAAGTACCACCAAGATATGAAGCAAAAGGGGTGCTGAAGGTCTGAAACAGATCAAGTGAGCCCGTCCTCTCGGAACGTGACTAGACAAGAGTCCACTACGTATATCTCATCCGTTGAGTGTAACCGAATTTCACTGAACCTATGAATAATTCTAGAACAGGATTGTTAGATCGAACGACAGAAGCTCAGCATGAAGTCAATACCGGTACTGGATTTTTCCTGGCAATCTATACTCGAAGGCCACGACTGTCAATTATCAACTCCTACGTGTTCAGAAATCTGAGTCGAAATTGTCAATGCAACTAGATTATTTTATAGTTGTTAAGATAGTTTGAATAACCAGGAAAAATCGATACATTCCATCGGATTGATCAGGAAAAGAGCACGCAAATTCCAAGTGGGTTCATATTCCTATTCCACTGTGATTTACGAATTCAAATCAAAATTCGATTACTGCGAATGACGGATCAATTGGAGACTGAAAATGCAGATCAATGTACACAAGATGACTATGACTCGGACTATGATATGAAGACAAAAGCAAGCGTATGAGGCTGACGGCCCACGGTTCGAGGATTCATAGACGTGTGAGTTTTTCGATCGCTGAATCAAGAATATCATAACTCTCCTGTTCCTGATCAGCTTCATTTTCAGCCATGTAGAGCAGCAACCATTGCAATGGGCTTATATCACAAAAAAAAATTATTTCATAATTCGATAGACCTCATCCAAACTATCTCACCACCGCAAACCGTTTCTTGCTGTGAGCTTCCTACGATTTATGAAAAATTATTGAAATCCCCGATTTTTTGGACCTCTGAAAACGAGGCGATGATGTGACGTCAAATCCCTAATACTGAAACAAGAGATAGAGATGAATGATACATGATTTCTGACAGAGCGAATTAGCGCGAGATCACAGTTGAAATAATTAATATATCAGTTGCCTCAGTCTCCGTTGGGCGTTTGGTATTTCGTTTTAACTATAACGAGATGAGGTTTCTACGTCATGAGAGGGTCCGTTTTCAGAAGGTACTATTATTTATGTCCAAAAATGAAACATTCCTGTTAAATTTTAGATCGAATTATGTCGTCAATCGTTATTTATGTATAAAAGGATCATTATAAACATGGTTTGAGTCAAAATTTCTACTAAGGTGTACACGCTCATTACTGCAGGGCGTAGTTGTGTGAAAAATAAACATAAATAACAGGTGAAAATTCATGATCACATGGTGGTGTGACTATCCTGAGATACATTTATTTCAGTGAATGAGAATGGAATTCCTAAGTCAATCAGGGTTGCCTCATAAGAGATTCTTAATCTCTAGAATCAGATAGCAGTTCAACAGGAGGTTAGTACTTGGTCATGAGTAAAATAGGTCCACCTTGTATCGTGTCACTGCATTTACTGAAATGTTCGCCTGGAATTGAGATGCATGCGATAGGACAGGCTTCCTAAGCACCGAGCTGCGCCTAAGTGGTTCAGGAACGTGTGACTATCTGCAGACCGGTTTCGAGCTGTTGGCGCTCATAAGTGCAGATCTGTCTCAGATAGCTTTTTGACCTTCATCTGGTGCGAACCTGACCCAACGTGAACGCATCTCAGCATTTGTACCCCACGAGGCGTTCAACGTCTGCGAAATGAACGCGAACGCCGAACATCTTCTGGCAAGTAGTGGAACACTCCAAAACAAGATTCCATATTGAGTGAAATGGAAGTGACTGGCTGCCCAACTAGTTTATTTTCAAGTAGGAAAGTGTTAAATACACAAAGTGGAATGCATTAGTCAGAAAGATAGGAAAACTCAGATTCATTACCACAATACCTCATGAAGAGAATGAAAATGGTGGATAATGAGAAATGAACAACAATTTTCCTGGCTTCATGTCATTCAATAATTTGTATAGACGAATAAATTCGCAAATGTTCCCTTCCTGGACGCCGACATGCGCCTTAGTGGTTCAAGAACGCGTGACTACCGGCAGATTAGTTATGAGCTGTTGTCTCTCAACAGTGCAGGGCTGTCTCAGGTATATTCTTGACCGCTATACTGACCCATCGTGAACGCATCTCAGCATTTTTACCACACAATGTGTTAAACGTATGCGAAATGAACGCGAACGCCGAACGCTACCTGATGAAAAAAGAAACACTACAAAACAAGATCCCATTTCATAAGAAAGTCACTTCCATTTAACTTTCAATAGGATCTTGTTTTGGAGTGTTTCTCATCTTGCCAGGTGGTGTTCGGCGTCACGCGCTCCTGAACCATTTAGGCGTAACTTGGCGTTTAGGAACGAAACACTTGAGATTTCATTCGCCTCTAGGAATCATTGCAAATATTTCGGGAAGATGTGATCCAATGTTCTGTGTGGCATATAGCCAGGAAAGTAGTTATTATTCTCCCGTTATCCTCAATTTTTGTTCATTTCATGGACAATTGTGATGATAACTTCGTGATAAATTTGAGGAACGATTTGAAATTACTTCTTATCACAAAAGTTTCGCTTCATCAAAAAATACATGGTGCACGAGACAAACGATCCACAGGGTACTAGTTGATTTTTTCAAATAAGGCACCCTGTATTCCATTTGAGAATTGATGAGATGAATCAATATTGAGTTCAATAATAGCAGGTATGATGGGGTCATGTCAAACTACTCAGAAGATACAAGCGATTATTGGTGGCTCAATGAGTTGGTTGTGTAATTTTTTACGAAATAATATCCTGTATTCTGCATGGAAGTCACTGCCAGGTTCAATCTTGAACATTAGTTCAGATTCTGTTGCTCGCTCAAGCACATTGACTGACCCACATTGAGCGTAATATAAAACATAACCCTACACAATGTCCTATTAGAAAAATCGACTAGTAACCTGTTGATGATTTTTTGTGAGCGCTCTGTATTATCTGATGTAGCAGAACAAGATTATGAGGAATTATTTGAGATGATTTCCCGAATTTTGAAATCAGTTCAAGAATAAATAAATTAGAGTGGGAGATTTTTATGATGATTCACCCGGTACCTATCTTTTGTGAGTGTCCTGGTTTGCCATGGAATTAGAATTATTATATCCTTCGTTCTCGAAAGGGGTTTGCCAAATATCAATAGGAGGAATTTTGAATAAGGTGAACACATCAGTTCAGTTAGTTTGGAGCAGGTATTTGGTGATTTCGATCGTTACTTCTTCGAGATATATAATATGTTGTTATCAAAACTCAAAACGGATAATATATTTGCCAAAAGATTCTATCCCAACATATGAGAAAATATATGGAGTGTGTACTTATATGATGTAATTGATAGGAATGTCAGTACGTAGCGTGAACTCGGCTAGTTAATTCAACCACATTATCATCAGGTGATGAATAAACTAACGAAAACAGTTTTCTAAACGGAAACAATCATTATGAGCATTCACGAACAATGGTTCTGAATCAGTCAAACCTATAAGGGATCTCAGGAAGAGTTTCCGGAATGATCATCATGTGAAAACTATGTGCACTCAACACACTGAATTACTATCACTGAGATTTCCACCATCGAGTCATGGAATGAGTCACGATTATCAAAATATTTCTCGAATAAAGGTGGAATTTCTAGAGCCCCTGTGGCTGTAAACGCTAGTTTTTGGGATATCCTGGATGTCTATTAGAACTCACAGATCGGCGAAACATTGATATAGGTACAGTGAATTGTTTCCTCAGGTGGAGAAAATTGATGTTGGTTACTACAGGAGAAAATAATGTAGATATTGTTCAGCTTCCTATAGCAACAATAATCTGCAACTGTCCGAAACCTAGGAAAATCACGTATGCTTGATATCATCTCACCAAACAGGTCTTGACATGTGATATTTCATAGACTGGGAATGTGAACGAGTTTTTCAGAGCCTGGCAATCATTCATAAAACTGCAATCTAGGATACCTGAATTTTCGCAAAAAACTATAGTGCCCTGCTATAACTAATATACACCTGAAACAACAGAGATTTACTCACTTTGAAACGCCCTCCAAGCGGATAAATCACGAATCGTTTCTCACGATGTGAAGATATTCCCGGAGAAAGTAATACCAAAATACAAAGAATTGATCTACTTATTGTCTGCATTAGGAAGCGAATGTTGATAATGAATTCCAACTAAACTCATTCATACCATTTCTGGTCATCTGAGAGCTACTTCAAACAATTTGACACAACATTGCATCGAGGTAATAATGTACGGAAGCAAACGACTTGTGTTCCAAATATTGGTTCTATCCATTATCGGAAAACCGTTCCAATTAACAGATGAGGTCCACATCTTAACTGCTCATAGTCAAATGAGTAATGTACATCTACTTGAGACTCATAATATATTGTGATGACATTTTTATTTACTAGTATTAGTTCAATTGATTGATATCAATAATTGTTAATCAATTCACAGTATGAGAATATAGGAGTTTTTGTTCGGGTGTTATAGTTTTTATTGAATAAAAAAACGGATACATAGTATAAGTACGAAATCTACTCATAACCATTCTGCACCCACATACTCCTGGAGCAAAGTCGCCAGATTTGTCGATAATGCAATTTTTATATCGCCCAAATAATCGCAAGTCACAAATGCAAAATTTTTGTCGCATAATTGATTTAAAAATCGTCCAATATAACGAGGAGCAAATTGAATAGCCTGTTTTATTATAAAATATGAATTTATACGCATATATGGAGATAGTTAGGGGCAGTTCATGAAAATTAACAGAATATGTTGTCATTCAATCATCTTTTGAGCCTAAACGGCTCTCTTTAGCAAAAATATGCTCGAAACATTTCTTGTATAAAATTTCTTCATCTTAAATTCTTATGTCCTTATGTTCTTTCTAAAAACGCACCGTTTTGGAGATATTTTCAAGAAACCGTTTTCGAGCGCCATCTTGGCAAGATGGCGTTGCCGGCGGCATGTCCCGGAATGTGCATTTTGTGAATTTTATTTCTGGCCACCCAAAACTATGATCCTACAAAGTTACAAAACTTCCGGACTTTTTTCCAGGTAAAAATCCCCAATGACTGGCCTAAATAGTATATTACATACCAAGGTAGAGAAAGACTCATTCCTGTCGTAAAATTAGTTAGTTGACCAAGACGCAAATCGTCAATTTTCCTACCAAGGTTTGTATACCATCTTATTCACAACCATCATATTTGGATCAAAATGAACAAATCTCTGTTTTGTTATGAACATACATAAAATATTGAATAAGTGAGGGCGGGAATTAGAGGTGTGTAATGTGACACTTTCCAACCTTCAATGACGTTAGAAATGAAAACACTACATAAATGATTGTGAATAAAAAGTACTTACGAGGGTTTGTTCCTCGTTGGCAGCGTTTACGCGTAGTAAGCATCAATACGAGGGCTAATCGAGGAGTAATATTTAGTTACATGATGATGAAGTTGTCTGTGTGGATAGAAACATCGGTGTTACTTCCCAAGAAAATATAATACTACGAATATACTTGTCGAATCCTTCTATACAGGGTGATTCTGAATGAGACTAACAAACCTACTTTTCAGTTTCATTTTTTCATTTTGTGGTAAAATGTAATAATATCCGACTGGATGTGATTTTGCTATGACAGATATTCATCAAAAGTATACTGCGAGGCACACCAAGATCAGACCTGCTTGATCAATGAATTTGTGAAAGAATGCTCAGACACCTTCAGTTCCATGACCTCTGTGACATTATATCGACTTGAAATTATAACATGGTAATGAAGACATGTTCTGAGAATTTCCTCAGTGAATGACATCATGATTTTGTCATATGACCGTGAGTTATTCAATCCATTTTATCGTGAATTCAGATTCACTTTCATTCATAATGATATTTTTCAATGTTTGAATCACACCAAATAATTATTTTTTGCCACATTCAGAACTTTCTTCCGATCGATCTGAAATATAAGGGCAAAATTTCAAATCAGAAATAACGAATTATTCCGTTTACTTACTCATGATAGTTTGACCAATTCTCGTTTATTTTGCCACAGGAATTTGCTGTGGAAAAATTCTGATTCTAACTCTTTCCTAACTTTTCACACCTTGTTGCTCGAAATGATGTATTCCATGAAATACGTAGGAAGGAACTTTTCAACTTGAAAAAATATCAAGGACTCATTACTCATTTTTCTGGCATGAAAAACTTCTATGGAGCAAATCTATATAAAATTTCTCAATTCATTATTTTTGGAATTCTGGTCATCAATAGAGATTTTCGGCTTGATTTTTGTATTTCTCCCGAAAAACTTATGAGATTTCTACCGCAACTCCTGCTATTTGTTTCTACAATCTACTGATTTGAATTGTAGTGATCGCGAATTATCAACAATAGTATAACGATGTTCTGGAAATTTGATATAATATTCTGTCGTTTTGTTGTTAACGTTATTGTGTTGCCGAGCAACACTAGGAGTCTGTCAAGACGAGTGGAATTGCTATACTGCAGCACAATTGGAGTTGATGATGAAAGACAAAATCATGAGAAGATACCCAGAATGAAGTTATAATTTGCTAGACTATTCCACAAAACTTAATAACATTCATTTTAAATAAACAAGCCATTTTATTGGAGCTATATCTATTTTATGTCAAACTGCCCGAATTTGCTCCTAATTCTTTGATACATCATTGAAAACACCAACGCTGATAAACCAATCATAATCGAAAGATAGCAAGTGTTTCCGCGTTGAAACAAGTTTCTTCGGCTTATGGATGGTCAGATTTTGTGAGAATTTTAGGATGAGTGAAATAGTCACCATCAAGGGTCGTCATAAGGGTGGATTATAGGGGGTAAGTAGATATTATCTCTTTTTCATTCAATTCATAAAAAAAGTGATGGAAATGGAATCAACAAGAGAAATACCAAGAAATCCGAAGCACTAGCTGCGACAGTCCGCAATTTTTCAACAAAATTGCAGCGATTTTCATTACGCGCCTACTGACTAGTGACATTCAGGAGAGCCTTCGTGATAGTAGATTTTCGGTATTGAGCATTATCGATTATACATCTGGAGAATAGAATTGATTGTGTTTTCATGGCTTATTATACCAAACTTTGAACTAAAGAAGCCAAACACATTCTTTTTGATAAATATGAATTGCATGTCGATCATTCCGATTCAGAGTAAAATACTGGAAATATGAATTGCAGCAATCATTCACCTTGCAATTGAAAATAAAAAAACTGTAGAGCGGCTCTAGAGATGATAAAAATGGATCAAATAGCACATTCAATTATAGTACCAAGCTCGAAGAACATCTCCCCCTAGGTATTCACCTTGATAGTCACTGATTGGGAAAGTAGTGAGTTGTTTTCCTCCCGTTATCTACTATTGTTGTTCATTTTGTGAGCATATGCGAAAAAAACTTTTTCATTCAATATTTCATTCTACTTTGAGCATTCTGGCTTCTTCGTAGTTGATAGGTCGTCAACAGCCTATCGTAATTCGTCATTCTCATCACAGGAAAATAATTGTAGAAATATTAGATTGTAGCTCTCGAGGTGAAGACTGATTCTTTTTTTTCTTGCATAATATATCGAAATATCTACTATTTACTCATTTCCATTTGAAAATACAGATTTCATGTTGATTCACTAAATATACATAATGACAAAATGATTTCGAGTATTTCAAAATACCAAGGAAACCGAAAGCTACGTGACGCAACAATCGATATACGTGATAAAATCGCCGCCTCCGCCGCTCTCGCGGCGTTCGTGTGTGGATCGGTATGTACGCTTGCTATCCAATTTGCCAGAATCGATGGCCGGCGTGAAGGGAGGTATTCCCGCAGAGATTGAGTCTTCTCGTTTGATAGTTGATGTTCGATGACTGAGTTGTCGCAACGAATCAAAAATATCAGACAAGAATTTTTTAAGAACACAATCAAAATGGTACACAAAAATACTCGTAGTTACCCTCAGCGGTGACAAGAGCGGTTCCATGAATTGATTATGGGTTTGATGGAATCTGGTGATAACCAGCCGCTAATTCGAGTGTAAAAAAAATTTGAATCCTTCTAGTTAATCGATAAGATCTTCAATCCGAGGTGAAGGCATGATATTTTTTTCTGTTATTCCATTTAAAACTCTGTAATCGACTACTTGACGCTTTTCATTATTTCCACCATTGACGTTGGGCTGGCAAATTCAGATGAACTCTTAATCACAATTGTTGCATAAAGTATGTCTCTTAATCGATGTCTCTTGATGTTTTTACCACTTTCTGATGACCTGTACAGACGTTTATGAATTGGTTAAGTAAAAGTTGTGTACAATTTGAGTGAAACAGAGGGTATTTGTCCTTACTTGTCAATCAATTGGAATATTTAGAGCTTCTCTTCTTCGCTTGAATAACCGTGAGTAGTCTGAGGATTTTTTCTTGAAGTATCATCAGTTGATGGTCGTTGAGTTGATGATGAATGATGAAAATCTCTGAATCTGATGGATAGCATTCGCCAATAGTTATTTTGGCGACGATATAATCGGAAATAGTTGTGAATTACCCTGTAATTCTTTCCATATTCATAGGACGATAAAGATTCTCGATGTTCATCAATAATTGGACTGCTCAATGTCTTTCTCCAATAGAACAGTCACTGCCTTGATCTGAGAATTCTTTCTTTTGGCAAATTTTATTTTTTTATCGCTTGGAGCGCACGGAAGGGAATCCCTATAATGTTCAAAGAACATCGTTCCTAGGGAGGATAGGCATAGCAGGTAGGTATTGGAATTTTTTTCTTCAATCTCGTGAAATCTCATTAATCATATTGAAATTCTGGGTTCTTGGTTGGAATACCTCCATTTCTTCTGTAAACGATTTTTTGATGGCCAAGAGGCTCTCAGAAGTACCCAGACTCTGTACCTGCGTAAAAACATAATATATCCGTTTGATAATAATATGGTGTTCGAAATGTTTACCAGGTTTGGGTATTCTGTTTTTCGATATTTCATTGCGCAAATATGCAGCAAATTCATGAGTGCTCTTGATTTGTAGAGGCCTCATACAGCGAACGTTACTCCAATATTGAAAAAAATTCTATCATCGTGGAGAATCGATTTTGAATTTTTGATTCGAGCGGAATGAAGCAACAAAGTTCCATACAAAAAATTGCCTACTGCTGGCTCATGGTTCATGGAGGCTGAAATTTGCTCATTTGCAATTCAGCTCTCACAGTTCATATAGCCAGGAAAGTAGTATTCAACACTTTGAGTATTTGGCTGTTTCCTAGTTGAAAATACGCCAGTCGGTAAGCCTAGCCACTCCCATTTCACCTGTAATGAGAAATTGTTTTGTAGTTTTTCTTTCCTCTACTCTCTCAGAGTACTATGCGACAGGTTATTCGCAGGTTATTGTCTTATCAATTCTCGAATAATAATACACCCTGTTCTCAATATACGTGTATTTGAATATGAAATATCATAAATATCATGCAATATGGGGACATACCATGAATTATCATAAAATATCATGAAATGTTCTGATATATAATAATATAATGATATAATAATAAAAAACTCCTCACACAAGGGGCTGGATTATGAGGAAACCCCTTCTCTAGAAGTGAGGTACAGCTTGATCAGATCTCTTTTGACGCAGTTGAATACGGCGTCCCCCAAGGTACTGTCCTGGGACCAGTGTTATTTAATATATATATAAATAATATGTTCAAACTCAAAAGTACGGGCAAAATATTAGGGTTTGCAGATGATACAGCGATAATTTACCAATACGAAAATTGGGAAACATTAAAGGAAAAAACCAGAAATCGATTTCAAAAGTATAATCGAATAGTTTAGCAGTAACCTCTTAACAGTGAATTCCAGCAAAACTTATTATGTTGCCTTTGCTTCGTACAAGATATACTTACCAAATTTCGATTCATTAACAATAGACCTTGTTGACATTAATATTACTGTAAATCAGACAGAAAATATAAAATATCTTGCTATATATATCGATAGCCACCTTGAATGGAATAAACATCTCGATTATGTCACTAGAAAGCTAAGAAGTATCCTACCAAAATTCAGATATGTTTCTCAATACTTAGGATTGGAACATCTCAAAACCCTTTATTATGCATTAGTAAAAACGCATCTTTCGTATGGAATATTAGCATGGGGGGATGTTTGAATGTACACTTACAACACCTGAAAATAATACAAAAATACATACTTAAAATTATTTGCAAAAAGAAACGAACTTACCCTACAAATTTACTCTTTGATGGAATAAAATTATTCGATATAAGAAAATTATTTTGCTTTAGAATACTACAATACCAGCATAAACACAAGAATGATTTACTCCCTTTACCTCATAACTATAGTACCCGTCACAAAGCCTATTCTATACTTGGGTTCCAAGATCTGAAAAAACAATACTTCAAAGATCATATTACTACCTAGGGCCAAGATTGTACAATGTCGTTTCCATAGAAATCCGACAAAGTTTTGGATCATATACTTTCAAAACAAAGTTGAAGAAATGGCTAATTTCGGTGCCAAATGAATTTTTTAACTCAATTATTGATCACAAAAATTCATGATTTTTTTATGTAATTGAAATAATTATGAAAATATTTTTCTTACTTTTCATTCAATATCCTGTCCTCTGTAATACCACTGAGTCGTTTTTATCTTATTTGTTGAATTATTTCATTTATATACATTTAAACTGGATGATCAAATGATGCAACTTTTATATATTTTGTTTTATATTAGATGTAGATCCATATTTGTACGTTATACTCATGTCCTTGTTTATGTTGCTAATTTTAATAATTATTTCCGCCATAAACTAGTGTATAAAGTGTGAGGCTTTCATAAATAATATGCTTGAAATCAACAGTAGCCACGCTCAAGGGTAAACCTTTTGTGGCAACCCTGTTTGTTTATCAGCGAATTTATTGCTATTATTTTATACCATGGAAAAGGATTCGTATTATATTGTGAATTCCTGAATGAACAATTATATATATTATATATATAGTTTCAGCTTTTCTCCAAGGAAATCGCACTTAAGAGATCTATATGCGTCATCCTGAAAGCTAGAAGCGAGTTGAGTATGGAATATGAAATCTTATGGATGTCTGGAGAGTATTGGTATGAGACAGACAAAATTCGATCCCTATGTTTATCTAAAGTCCAATCAGGAAATTTTGGATCATAGCAGTGAGGGTTGATGACATACTGATTCTCTCTGTCCATGAGAAATTGAGAGACAGGAGAAGAAAGAAGCTATGAATTGATAAGAAAGCGTATATTGTGAACGTTTTGATCCAATTTTATATAAGGAATTTCAACCCTGCTTCAATTCCAAATTCAAATGTGGAAGTTTCTAAAGACCAGCAGCTGAGCTTCACGAATAATGAAGTGAAAATTGAAGAGATCCCATATCGAGAGGCAGTAGGCAGTTTGTCGTTTGCATCACAAGGGTCCAGACCGGACATATCATTGACTGTCAGCTTTGTTAGTCGGTTCAACAACAACCCAGCAGCTGCACTTTGGTCTGCAGTGAAGCGCATCCTCCGTTATATGATAGAGACAGTAAACTGGAAGCTGGAGTACGATAGAAACAAATCGTATGAGATCACTGGATATTGTGACTTCGATTTCGCAAGAGACATTGATTAGCAAATAGTATATTACATAACTAGTGTGGAAATTGACATATTTCGCGTGAGTGGACGTTTAGCACGGGCAGCAGAGCGGCGAGTGCGTGAACGAAACGAGTGCAGGAAATGCACTTTCCATCAACGAGTTTCGTTACATTTTTTCTACGACCCCAAATATTTATATTATATGTCATGAGTGCTCATATGAGACCAGAGTAGGGATCATGTTTCTAATCATATTCGATCGCATGAAAGTGATATCATTATCATTATCATTTAATTTTACTTCAATATTTAAATGACATCATAAGTTCAACGTCAACTTAACATCAACTCAACATCAACTCGAAATCAACTCAACATCAACTCAATATCCACTCAACATCAACTCAACATAAATTCAACAGTTTCTCAACATTTACTTGAAATTAACCTAACACTAACTCAAAATCAACACTGAATTAACTTAAAATCAACCTAACATTGACTTCACATCGACTCAATAATTATTCAACATAACCTCAACATTAAATCAACATACACTCAAGATTAACTTGACATAACCTCAAAATCAAATGGACACCAACTCAATATCAAATTGACATTGACTTCACATCAATCACTGAATTGCCAATACATTGACATTAATTCAACTTTCAATTGAAATTAACTTGATTTCAACTTTTCATCAACTTAACATTACGTTAACATTAACGACAATAACTCATGTTGAATCGACACTAACTTTCCATTAACTTGACCATGACTTAACTTACCATAATTCAGCATTATAATCATTTATTGATACATCATAATCTATAGACCCTGTTACTGTGCGATTTTCGAATATATCCAACCATGTGAGTTTTACTTCCGAACTTTCTAACTGTTATATATATTGTCATAGTGAAACGAGTCACTTTCTCAATAACAAATCAATGTGGTGGTCGTAGGAAAAATCTGTCACCGGATATGTGTACCTGATGTGCAACGCATCAGTATCTTAGGGAACGAAGAATCAACCGACAACAGCGTTTTACAACACTGGGGCGAAATACCTGGCGTTGTCCGCTGCTACCAAGAACACTCTGTGGCTGAAGGGTTCGTCAAAGGAGATAGTTTCCTGCTCCGAGAAACAGAAGGTTTCAGTCGAAATATTCTTGGACGACCAGGGAGCACTCAATCTCGCACAGAACGGTATCTACCAATCAAGAAATGAACACATGCGCGCCATCATTTTTTACGTCAGAAGATAGCTGAGAAGCTTATCGAACCATCATATTTATCAACAAATAGAATAGTACCTGATTCACTCACGAAGCCGTTGCTTCCTGTTCAGATTCTGAATTGCATTCAATCACAAGAAATAACCAGATAGGAAAGGTTGTTCGACTTCTCATCATATTTTGTTAAGTCAGCTTGATATTCTAGATATAATCGCCAAGTAGATATGTGTCACAATAAAAATATAGATAGTCAAGTCCATGTCAGTTAACAAACATTCTATCATCATATCTACTGAAATGGAAAATCACAATGAAATAACTACAGTCATTATGTTATCAACAAAATGTCAAAAAAGAATGTTAGAAGAATTATTGTCGATAAATTTATGAAAATTTATATTCAATCTGAAACGTCAAGTACTCATAGCAAAAACTCTGATGGAGATAGATGAAACGTGTTCTTGTAGTTAGTCGACAAATGCATTATCTCCGGCCGATTTCAGTGCAAGCTGTCGGAAATGCAACACCCTGAATGATCATGGAGACAAAATACAGTTATTTCGTAATATATCCCTGATGGAGATTTCAATGAATTTGCGATATTATGATTAAACGCACAACGTATTTTCGATTATAAGAGAAATATAATTGGAGACAAGTGGATGATGAAGAAATGAAGCATTGATATGGCCGTTCATTATGTTATCTATAATTCTCGGGGAATTTCAGAGGTCAGAGAGTTCGACTGATTAGTAAACAAACATATTCCTTTTTGTAGAAGTATCAGCAATAAGTATCGTTCCTCCATATGATATGAGTACTATATCCAATGCCATATTCGCTTTTTCGATTGTATTTCTTTTGATATGTGATAAAAACGTAAACTCAAGATCAAGTAGAGGAGGTGAGTCACAGTTCAGGTATATTTATTCGCGGTAGCCAAATTCATCATCTGACTCTGCGATGACATGAAATCTACTGAAAAACATGTCTAACTTCCAATCTGAGCCAGGAGTTAGAAATGACTCCCGTAGTTTTCAAGTCATCGCAACGTCAGATGATGACCTCGGCTAGCGCAAAGTGAAAGTGAAAACCTGTCAGACCAAAACATTTCCTAGAATTTGTGTGGAAAATTTTCGTTCAAAAAATTTGTCACTACTATGTTTTTGTCATCAGCGATGATCCATCCACTAAATATTCTACAGTTTGTTCCAGATTCAATAGTATCCGATGATTGCAAAATTTTATAGTTATATCCGAATGAGTCGAGAAGAAACTCAGAAGGTTATTATTTCTCCATGAAAGAAACATCATTTATTTCGTTATCATCAACATTGTTTCAAATAAATCACATTGGATCTCCTAGAAAGTTCAGTGTTCTGAATAAAGATGAACCCTGAAACATAAATTGGGTTTTGCCTCGAAGAGAAGATTATTATCAACTATCACTTCGGTTCGATGCAAATATACAGGTCGACCATTCGAAAACTAAACAGCCAATTTTGGACAGCTCAGGTCATTCACGGAAAAACGCTCTGACCCGTCAATTTTGGATTTCAGGCAAAAACATTGTCTATAAAGTTCTACACACTGACTGAAATTACGCCAGCAAGCTTGAGACTCATCACAATGAACTCAAAAATCTCAAACGACAAGAGGAGTTGATATCTGATATCACTCAACGCTAACTGGTGAGAATGAAAATGTTAGCACTATATGTTAAAAAGAATTCCGAATTCAAATAACAGTACATAGGTATCGTTGAAGTTGCGCCATCGCCGTATGTGTTATGCCAGTAAATTGAAATTGTATCGAAAATGTATTTCTTCTCATCACATAACTGAAATGGCATTCAGCATACTGATATGTTCCACGCTGAAAATAATAGATAGATAACGAATCGACGATCTGTGATGCTTTCAAAAAATTGAGGACGTTACCCAGGCAAGTTCTTGAATACAAAACCATAAAAACATAGTTTTTCGAATACACCTTCAATCGTTCAAGTCTTGTTTGGCCTGTCAAATTTTGGAACTGTCAACTGTCATTTTCGAATTTTGTTGCAATCGGGGACAATCAGGATTATTCAAACGATTGCTGTTTGTATCAAAATTATCCATCGGGAATGTATGCGAAAGGGAAACCAGAAAAAAAGTTTGAGGTACTAACACTTTTTTCATTACTCGAAACGCACGATAGAAAATTCCTATAATGTTCGTGGAATATCGCGCGTACCTAGGGAGGACAATAAACTTGAAATAATATTCATGTTTCTGGATGTCTGAAAAATTGGAATTTATTATGCAAGTTGTGAAAAAAAACTTCAAATTGATCTGATCAAGAATCTGCGATTGAGGGTTCATAAAAAAACAAGTTTTCATCGTTCAAGTCTAAACTCCTCAATCAGGTGCGAGTATCGAATGAGAATAATCTCCGATGAATCACCGACGTGACATAATAGATATATGGAGGAATACATCGAAAATTTGCATTCCCTATATGATGAAATTATCAATTCTTTCTTGGTTCATTCAACAGGAAACAACGAGTTTCCTGACTGAATGCCACGACGAACAATGAATAATATTTATTGAACACACGAGAAATTGAAAATCTTCTGAAATAAAGAATTTACCTGCTTCTCAGATAAAGATATTTATGTGCACAAAGGTAATGTAACATGAAAATTTGCCTTTTCGTGTTCCATACTGTGAATTCTGCAGATAGGTAATGGGAAAGCTTTGTGAAGATGCACTGCGTAACTCAATGATTTCTTTTCTAGGTTTTGAGGTACTTCACGAAATTCCATCTTGTTAAATGTTTTCATTATCAATGTCCATGACTGGATGACTGTTAGGTTATTTCAGTCCACTTATTATCCAACCTTACACATTTGTCAGATGCCCATGAATATTGTTGTTTACATCATAGTCTCTTGCCAGTAGAACACTGTTTGTCGCGTTTAGTAGCAGTGGCTTGTGATGGTACAGGAATATTTACAATTTTGTATCGACTGTTGAATCGACTACTGTATCGACCATCGTATCGACTATCGATGTCATGATCGATATTTGATATTTCTTTCAAGTTACATCCTTGAATCTGAATCGAATCATACTATTTGGGTGGCTAGATTGACGCTGCGCAGAGACGAAATTTGGTTTGCAATATTTTTTTGAAATAGATGACAAGCGCTCTGATTGACGGAAACTTGTTGTTTGAGCAATTTCCATTTATTCATCCTTCTTGCTGATTCCTTCTCTTGCGAAGAGGTTTCATGTGCTGAAGCCAAAATGAGGCCCTTTTTTATTTCGGCTCTCGTGCGATCAGGTCAGGTGGTGGACACCTACTTTTGTGTTTGGCCTTTCCGATAGGAAGGTAAGAAATATTAAATCTCTTTTTGTGTGGATGATATTCGATTGGGTATGTACATTTCAGATATCACGACCTTATACAGGGGAGCACGGGGTACAGAATAAGTGGATGATATGAACTCCATTTTGTTTTGACTACATGGCATGTTTCTGGACTTAATATCTTATCATTTAACACTGTGAACTGGATGGATCACTCAATATGGAATCTCATCAACTATGGGCATTTAGATATCTTGAACTGTTTTCTGGACTCCACTGTTTGGGCATCACGTGGACACTTGTTTCGATGGTTGAGGCACCTGAGGAATCTTCGTGTTTTGAAGCCTGAGTCACCAATACACTTGAAGGTGGAAGCAGGACCCTGGTGATTTCTTGTGTATGTCCTTGGGCATCTATATGACCCGACAGCCTGGAAGTTCTGGCAGAATCCCCGCTGCCAACAGTGCAAGTCCCTAGCAGCCCTTCTGGTTCAGATAGCCAGTGATCCTGACCTCTGACAGGAAGTCCGGGAAAGTCCAGACTCCTGGTATGGTTGATGATCCTTCATCCGTAGGATTATGTTGCTTCGGAGCCTGAACTCCCAGTGCCCAGTCAGATAGTGAGGTCCAGCTTGGATTGTAGGAAGGTTTGTGAACCCGTCAGCCAGAGTTCCAGTGCAGCATCCAGTTGCCCTTCGATAAACCAAGTGCCCAGGTCTCCAGGTGGTTGTGAGTCCTGTCAACTGTGTGGGGATCTAGTTTTCCTAGCCCACCTAACCTCTAACGCCAACTGAGGGAGGAGTGTCTTTGTTTCATCCAGGTAGTGAGATCTAGTGGACCTCAGTTGGAATCTCATGGTACGAAATCCAGAACTTGCAGTTGAGGTCAGTATGTTCCATATATATTTTTCACTGTCTGAGGACATTCAACATGCATATTTTTTTCACTGTCTGAGGAAATATTACCTACGTATTTTTTCACTGTCTAAGGACATATAACATGTTCTTTCTCTCCTGTCTTGAGGACATTCAACATATCTTTTCTTTTCCACTGTCTGGTGACATTTTTTGACATACATATCTTTTCCCTGTCTGAGGACATTTGAATAGTAATTCTTTCACTGTCTAATGTCAAGAGATATTTGAACACTTGTCGATAACACATAGCAGTCTAAGATCAGATTTCACATAATATAATGGAATTATTGGGAACCCAAAGTATAGGCCTATATGAAGTGAGATCTACCCTTTTACTGAGTTACAATCTTACATCTTTTCATCACCATTCTGAATACTTACTGTTGGCATGTTTGGGTGAATAAAACTGTTAACAGGTATTTTGGCTCATATCGATATCTTGGATTTTTTTCTCAGTAATTCGCTGCGGAAACTGAGTGGCGCCTGACGAAAGGATAACCCCACTAGTAACCAATAAAGAGAACAAACTCACGACTTGCTCCCAAACAAACGAGCTGCCGTGCCTATAACAAATGAAAATCTTTTTCTTTTCCAGAACATCAAAAGAGTTGTTATTGTAATATCATTCTGTATATTCAACAGAAAACAACTCCTCTCCTGATAAGTTAGGTATATTTCAATATTATAATACATCATGTTATTTATCAGATTTGAGAGATGGAGTCAATTCTCAATTCCAGGGGATTTTTTCTCCATGTTCTTCTTTTGGTTATTCAACAGATTTGATTCAAAGTTCGGCGTGACAAATAGTCAGAAAAGTAGTTGTTGTCTGTTGAATATTCAGGATTTTATCATATGTATATACATATTTTTATCTGAAGGAGAATGCCAATTTCCAACTCCAGGAGATTTTGTTCTCAAATTCTCATCGTGTGTGGGTAAACGATAAAATTCAATGTTCTTCGTGGCATATAGCCAGAGAAGTAGTTGTTTCTTGCTGAATGTACCAAGGAAGAATCGATATTTTCACAATATAAAGAATGCGAAATATCAATGTATTTCTTTATATATATTTCCATTTTTCATGTTCATAATTTATCTGAGAATTTTCCGTCTCAATATTTTTGTAACAAAAATAATGAAATCAGAATATGGATACATACCTGAGGAATCAAGAACTCAGCAAATCGAAGAGTTCTGATATTCTACGTCAGATGAGACTAGACAACATTTACAACCAATAGCGTTGTTCACATGCAGTTACAAAGTATTATGGTATCAATTTTCATTTGCTCCGACTCATCTTGTAGGTTATCAGGTAGGTTGATTCAATTCTGAGAGTAATGAGATCCTGTCAGAAAGAAGAATTATGAGTTCGTCGGAGGAGAATATTTCGTAACGCGTTTATGAAGTCTTCTAAACACTTGTATATTGAATATGCGCTCCGTTCTCTGCGCTTGTACTTGAATTACTTGTAACTTGAGGGATATAATACTTGAAAAATAATATTCTCAGATAAATTATGAACATCCAAAAATGAATATATATTCATATGAAGCAATACATTGAGACTTCGCTTCATATAAATATATATTCATTTTTGTATGTTCATAATTTATCTGAAAATATTCCTTTTCAACACTTTCATACCCAATCAGGGAGTACAAACTTGAACGATGGAAACTTGTGATTCTTATAGACCTCCAATCGCAGATTCGTGATAGAGTCTCAATTCAGAATTTCTTCCCACGCCCTGTATGATGAATGTCAATTTATCATACACCTAAAAGCGATATGATACTTGTCACCTGATGTACTATTGAATATTCATAACCATTCATACTGGCAATACTGAAAGTGAGCACATTGACATAAATTCCTGATTTTTATATTTTATTAGTTTCTGATGTCCACTGCTATGTGATTCTGCGTTTGCTACGTCATACATTTCACATTCAACAGTGAATTTTGTTTTGTTTTCACTATTCTTTGTTTCCACCTCTTGTAGCACTTTCACGTTCAATCGATTTCGTGATATTTCAACTTAATAGTCCTTGAATTCATATAATATATTCCTCCATATTCAGTGAACTTGAGTGAAAATTAACTTTTTTTGCTTTTTCATCTTGTATATGAAAGTTTGGTATACTTTTATATCGTGAAGAAACGTTGGAATCAACTCAACAATCAGACGCACGTGCTTGCAAAAAACGATATAATGAAATACAGGCCGTTTGCCACAACCATGTATGCTTATATATAGCTAGTTCCAAAATAAGAAATCATTCAACATCTCTTTCCATTAGAGATTTAAATTGATAGTGAGTACCACAGCTGTTGATGGAAATCTTCCCAGTTGCTGGAACTGTCAAAAAAATTATTTTTCTTCTGAAATTAAAGTTTGGCATGCGTTCTCTCGTATATAACCTGAGTTGCCCAAAATTGAATCTGTCATTTTTCTAAGTTCATTCTCTTCATTCATTTTTTAAGTGAATTGAAAGTCGTATATTGTCACAAATATAAGACAGAGAAAAAATCTATATGAGAGCCGACTATCTGTTTCTGAATTGTTGAAATATCGTACTGACTGTGAGTATATACCAAGCGTCATAGATAGAACTTTCATTGTCGTTCTGGAGAAAACACTCAGTAGAAGTAAAGGTGTGAGATAACCCAACATCTTGAGATACTATGACAACTCAATTTCTGCAAGAAAATTCTTATGTATGGAGATTCAACTGATGATGAGCATAAGTGTAATTGATTGAAAGCCCATTTTCCATTGAAGCACGTTACATTCTTATGTACGTACAGTTGATGAAGGTTCAGATCACCTGAACATATATCTTGCAGGTGATTGCGAACATGATTTCTCATGATATTCTGGATCATCAAATCTTTGTAAGATCAAGTATATATGCCAACAGTTGAAAGCTCTGATGCTAGAAGGGGATTGGTAAAATTTCTCAGATTTTACAGGAGAGGCAAACCTTTTTCAGGTCGTATTCAATATTATTTCAGGTGGAAATTGAAAATGTGATTATTTCGGTTTATATTTGATCGAATTTCTCGTAGAAATGAACTGAATTTCGTAATGAAGAGGTTTGTGCTGCCGAAAAGTTATAAGTTGACCTGTCTCGAATATCTGTAATATAATAGGGTGCAAAAATGTGATTCATAACATATACAACAATTTATATGAAACTCCATCTTCATTTCTCCAAATTCACCTCAACACTACCCAAGAGGTAAACCTCGGTGGGATTCTAATGTAGAAACGCTGGAGTTTTTTTGAATTCCTAGCAATTATTTGAGTGAATGACGGAGGAAACGATTTCTTATTCAAGGATATATCGTTATTCACAGCCAATTGAAAACACTTTGGTATACTTGCTACCCATCAAATATAAAAATCCGACCACGAATGATTAACGAGCTACTACAGCAATGACCGCTTTTTGTGAAATTCTCTTTATAATATTCACCTCTTTTATTACGAATATTTTTCCACAGCAACAGGGTGGGAAAATGTATTCTCCACAAATTTCACCACCGCACTGCAGCTGCAACATTTTGGTAATAAATCCTACTATTTGGGTGTTTATATGAAGGTGAAGAGCTATTTTCTGCACTGAAGTATAATAATAACAAAATTTGATCATTTCAGGCATCATTCTTTCAAGCTATGCAGATATGCCAGAGTGTGCACATGAGTTTAGTTACAGTGGAATCACTTGAAGAAAATGAGAGATTATTCAAATACATCAGAGAAACCAGTGAGTGTATTTCAATATTCAATGTATTTATGCTTTTATTACTGCATAGATAATAAAAGACTGAAACACCGCACCTTCAATAGGGAAAATTGGTCTCCTGTCGATATGGCTGAATTTTTGATATAATATGATCCGAGGCATTCTGAAACGGATGTTCAAACAGAGCTTAGGCTGCTAAGGTCCCAAACTTGATTATCTTGCTCCTGATAAATAATGCTCTTTGAGCTTTCATTATATAATCTAGTGTGGAAATCCATAGCTCAAATTAAAGTGAAGTAGTAAGAGACGAATACATTAACAACAAGTAATATATAGAACATGTTTCCGGCATCAATAGGGTCCACCATCAGCTGCAAGGTTAGAAATTGTCCTACAAAAAATATTATATGTTAGGTTTATATGTATAGTATATATATCTATGCATTCAAAAAACGAATCAAACTTTCAGATTGCGAAAATTTGGCCTCTTGTGAGGAAATTTGATTAAACGGACCATGTGGGTACTCTAAAAATCAATTCGATCCAAGTCAGACAATTTTCGCTATCTGAATTTTTTTTTCAAAGATCACGTGAGATCAATTGCTAAAAGTGCATCCCACAAACTTGGCTTTCTGTTTCGGACCAGGAGCTATTTCACTACCAGTCAGCTGCTTATGATCTATGAGGCACAGATCCGACCTGTCCTGGAATACTGTTCCCATATTTGTAGTGCGGCACCCAAACATACCCTGAAACTGTTGGATTCTGTGCAGAAAAGGGCAATTCGTCTCGTGAGAGATGCCTCACTCACAAACTCACTCACTTCTCTGGAACACCGTAGAAATGTTGGTGATCTGGCTCTATTCTATAGATATTTCCAAGGACGATGCTCTTCTGAAATGTCAACAATTGTACCTCCCTTGGCAGTCCCCGCTAGATTAACCCGTCGGGTTGAGGCTTCGCACTCCTTCGTGGTCACTTTGGAGACCTGCAGAACATCTTTTTCCAAAGACTCGTTCATCAAACGAACAGCAAGGCTTTGGAACACATTGCCAAGGGAAGTGTTCCCCGAGGCATATGACCTCTAGAAATTCGAGATGCACACTAATTCCTACATTATTTTCCTTGGTTCTCACGATGTTCTCTTAACATCACAGGATTTACCTTTTCGTGGGAACCAGAACATAAAAAAAATTGAATGATATGTCAACTTTCAAATAATTATCCATCGTATAAAATAATTATCCAACCCCATTGCTGACAGGTTGTCTCAGATATACCTAGCTTATTGTATATTGTGTAGGACAATTTATTCCAATCTTTTTGGCTGATGATAGATATCACTATTAATAGTATTGGCACAATTGAGAGAATATATACCAGTTAACTCACTCCCCGAAATGCCGCCAAACGTGCCGCGGCTACCTTCCCCTTTCCCCGTTTTGATCGCAGCAGGTTGCAGCTGGCGAACGTCAGTCGGCTACGTACATAGTGAATCAAGTGAACGCAGCGATCGTGCTATATCGAGTGTCTCAAATAATAGCCTATTAGTGTGAATTAAAGCATAAGTATGTATATAACGTATTGCGTTGTTGATGGCTGCAGAAGTAGAATGGGTGGAGAATTATCATTTTTTAGATGTCCATTGGATGAGGACAGGCAAAAAAATACTTACATTATAAATACAATTAAAGGGGAAAGTTACCAAACTGCTGTTGAAATGTACTGCAAAATGGCAATTTTTGCAACTGATTTCGACATTGCATATTTTCTCGATCTTTCTATATATTCGGATTAATTATTCTCGATTATATGAAAAGTCTATCAGTCATACGAGACTATCTATTTCAATTGAAAAATATGTCAAGTTCATTTACTTCGGAAATTGATTTGCTTTCCGAATTTCATTCAAGTGACTATTTGGAAATAGAAATGGAATATCATTGTAACAATAGTTGCGTAGATCGCCGATAAAAACATATTCTGGCAAATTATTATACAGGATGAGCAATAAAGCATGTTTAGTTAAGAAATGTGCAGTGAATTTGAGCATGTCAAATCATGTTTTGTAGGTGTCAAGCTTGGAAAAATGTGTTGGGATTCATAGGTACACATAGATATGCAAATATAACATCAGAGCAGGGTCACAGCAGATTGAAAGTTTGCAGCTTACATTTCACTGAAAATTGTTTTGTGAATGAAGCACGAAATCGACTCCAGAAGTTTGCCATTCCTTCTTTACTACTGGGTCCTAGTTCATACACTCCTTCCAAAGGTTATCTTCATCTATCAATTAATATCTATAGATATTTATTGATAGATGTCACTATAGTAACATCTCTATATATGAAAATGAATGTCTGTCTGTTTGTCTGTCCGTCTGTCCGTCTGTCCGTCTGTCCGTCTGTCCGTCTGTCCGTCTGTCCGTCTGTCCGTCTGTCCGTCTGTCCGTCTGTCCGTCTGTCCGTCTGTCCGTCTGTCCGTCTGTCCGTCTGTCCGTCTGTCCGTCTGTCCGTCTGTC